TTCATCCCTGGAAGTTTAAGCAAAATCTGCCATCCGGTTTAAGAGGAGTTGCGTTCACAAAATTTCAACATAGTATAGAGTGAAAAAATCAACAAAGGGCCATAATTCTGTTAAATTTGGTCTCAGCAAAAATTCCTTCCTTTACTACCATCTACACATTAAGGTTGTTCATCCCTGGAAGTTTAAGCAAAATCTGCCATCAGGTTTAAGAGGAGTTGTGTTTACAAGATTTCGGACGTACGGACGGACGGACAAGTGCAACGCTATATGCACTCCACTTTGTGGGGGCATAAAAATCAGTTAACCAGAGTACAAGTTCCATAAATATTTTCAAAATATAAGTCAAAAGCATTAACAGTTTCCGTTCTAACAATATAACTTCAATTTGCAGTGAAATTTTGGAACAATATTTAACAACAGGAAATGTGGTGCCAAACTTAAAATTTTCTGCAGAAAATGAAAAAAAAATATCTATTAGTTTAGCAGTTGTAGTATATCTATCAATAAAGTGAAAAACAAAACGTTTTTCATATAGGTGTGTGGTGAAATTTCATTTAATTGAAAATCATTATCTTTGCCTGAAAATTGATTATTTTGCTAGACCTTAGAAAAACAAATTCTGCAAATAATGTTTTAAATGCACCAAAACCATGATTAAATGCATATAAAAACCAAACAATATGCAAGTCTTATACAATGGGATTGTCCAGTATCAAATTCAGAACAGCAAGTTCAAAACAGTGAAATGTAAATAACAGGGATTTTGATTTTAACTTTGAGAGGGATTTTGATAACAACCTTGAGACAAATTTGATATTAACCTTGAGAGGGATTTTGATATAAACTATGAGAGGGATTTCGATATTAACCATTGAGAGGGATTTTTTATATTAACCTCAAGAGGAATTTTGATTTAATCTTAACAACCTTGACAGGGAGTTTGATTTAACCTTGGGAGGAATTTTGATATTAAACTTGAGAGGGATTTTGATATTATAACCTTGAGCTGGATTTTGATATTAACTTTGAGAGGGATTTTGATATTATAACCTTGAGAGGGATTTTGATATTAACCTTGAGAGGGATATTGATATTATAACTTTGAGCGGGATTTTGATATTAACCTTGAGAGGGATTTTGATATTATAACCTTGAGCGGGATTTTGATATTAAACTTGAGAGGGATTTTGATATTATAACCTTGAGCGGGATTTTGATATTAACCTTGAGAGGGATTTTGATATTATAACCTTGAGCGGGATTTTGATATTATAACCTTGAGAGGGATTTTGATATTATAACCTTGAGCGGGATTTTGATATTAACCTTGAGAGGGATTTTGATATTAACCTTGAGAGGGATTTTGATATTATAACCTTGAGCGGGATTATTATTTACATTGAGAGGGATTTTGATATTAACCTTGAGAGGGATTTTGATATTATAACCTTGAGAGGGATTTTAATATTATAACCTTGAGCGGGATTATTATTTACATTGAGAGGGATTTTGATATTAACCTGTCTGCTGATGGCTACTCATTCTACCCATGTGGCCTGAATGCAGTCCAAGATCAGCTAACACATCACTGCCATCCAGTTATGGTCTGCACTGTTTGCTATTCAGTCAGTGTATATTTTGGAAATGATCCCTAAAAATGATGAATAGACTTGTCTGGATTGAAATAAGGAAAATACCATTTAAGATATTTAGTGTGGGTATGGTTAAAATAGTAAAATTAAGGAGACAACAGTCAGACTGCACAGATATTCAGACAGCAGTTAAAGTGTAGTTTAATATGATGGCATAGAGATTTATAGTCAAAGAAAAAAAAGTTATCTCTTTGTTTATTCTTCTTTAAAAAATAGTATTCCTTCAGGAGTGCACTTTGTTATGTGTTACTGTATTCCTAGAAATGTTCGCGGATACAATATTTCGCGTTTTTTACAACGTCGGCATTTTCGCTGAGACAAACTTTCGCGGATTTGTAGTAACCGCTAATTCCGTGAATATTAAGTCGCTACGGCCTAAATTACAGTTTTTGGAGGCTAAGTTTTTGATGCATGACCTTGCCTGTTTGGTACTTTTAATTCTTTTATTTTTTTTGCGCCTAAAGCGCTATGCTACTCGATACCTTTTCATCTATTGACTTGTTTAACACGGACGGTTGTTCCGTAAACACTTTTTACTTATTTCCTAACATTTTTTTTCACTATGTGATTAAGTACGACGTTAGCTTTTAATTAACATATGAATCATAACTGATTTTATCTTCAAAATGTCGATATGTATTTTTTACACAGTATCAGATTGTACATCAATTTTATCAATGTAGCACTTGATCAAATTGTACTTTTTACAAAGGATCACACCTACTCCAAGCAATTAAAATCCAAGTCATTCAATGTATGCAAACTGTAAATGCTTTTGTATACGCCGTGACTAGCGAATAACGTCAATAAGCATGATATTTACTGATGATTGACATTTTTTCAGGGTCTAAACAGGTATCTATCACATACATACATTATTCTAATCTTTACACATTTCTATGGCACCTGTGTGTACATTAATTGAGTTGTGAAATAAACTTAGAAAACTTTGAAACTTATATAGCACCTGTGTTTATATGTTTTTGTGTAAGTAGATTATAATTAAAATTCTGCTCGTTTATGTTTTTATTTGGTTGAAGCTTAGGAAATGTTCGCGGATTTGTTATGAGTGACATATTCGCAGCTATGAAGATTCGCGGAATCATGCCTACCGCAAAAAGTGCTAACTTAAAATGCGCAAAATCTTTTCTAGGAATACAGTATTTGATTGTATAATTTGTTTGATCTATAAATAGCAACTTCCACACCCTTCTAGGTTGATTAAGTATTACAACACTAAATCATAATTAAGTAATAATTCAATGTATTTAATCAAAAATATATGTTATTGTCTTTAGACAGAGAACAGTTTCAATAAAATTTTCCTTTGGACTTTGTAATTAATAGATAAAATAGGGTTTACAATATGTAAATTACAGTATATATCTTTACATTGTATTTGTTTAGATAAAATACTTCTACACAAGAGTGAGTTCAACTTGTTATAGTTTTTGGAATAAAAGTAAACAAATTTTAGCGAAAAAAAAAATAATCACAAAACCTGTTAAATTTGTTTGTTTTTTCCTTTAAAAATACGTAGACATACTTTCTTGTTAGATCTAATTTCTTATTTAATAAAATTCAGCAATTTTTCAAAAGCACTTATAAAAAAAATACATATCCAATCCTTCAATTTTGAGTACTCGCCATATCTCTTAAGGATATGACATTCTATGAAAATAACATTACATCTAACCCCCACACAAACAATTATTGTAATTTTTTTATAAAAAATAAATGCATCCTTTCAATACAGGTATACTACAGTTTCAGGAGTACTTGAAAAAATAATGGAGTATTAATTTTTACCAATTAAGCTGACTTCCTGGTCTTAATTGTTTTTTTCCCCTTTGTTTAATTGAGAACGGAAATCACAAACACAGGTGCTCAAATCAATCTTAATTACATTTATTAATAAACAGATGTATAAAAATGTCACTCATACCTGGATAATTGTAAATAATTGATAATTAAATGATAGGATAGGATAATAATCACCCCCATACCCCCAAGGCTATTACTACTGTGCAACACTCCTCACTGTGTGAAACCAAAAGTCCTGCCAGTACATTCTGATGATTTCGAAATCATCAATTAGTTCAAAATAACACCTGTTTCAAAGAAAACAAAACCTTAAACATATAATCATGATATACACATAATAAAATTTCAAAGAAATTCACCCAGTGACCTGACAAATGTTCACCTTTCTATTGCCTAAGCTAAACTTGAGTTAGGAGTAAAGTTTAACCCTAAGCCTTCACCTACTAAATTTCTGTAATGCATTTGCTTAAAACACCTCATTAAAAGTTTGAGCGGCTTCAATCTTAAAATACAGAAATGGCTGTCAGCAGGACAGCAAGCTAAAGTATTCACAGTGCTTGATAGTAAAACAAGAGCCTGGGTTATAAATGAAGAAATTTCAAAAAGAAGTTCAAAAAGGGCCCTTATTCTGTAAAAATCTACATTAAAATTATGGGCCTTAGAAATTGACCTCCTATTGTGCTCTCAAATAATGGTGTAAAGTTTCTAGTACTTTTTGAGATACCAACTTGCATGCAAAAAATTAATCAAAGTGTGACGCTGATGCCTGGGTGAGTAAAACAGCTCTACCTTTGGCTTAAAACAGAGTTATCAACAGTATAGAGCCTGGTTAGACTGCACATATGTGCAGACTGACCTTGCTTTATATGTGTGGTAAAGGTTTGTTACTTTTGGTTCCAGTACCAACAGTAAACAAATATTGATAATCATTCCAAAAAGTTAAAGATATTATGATAATTCTATCATAGTTATTGATATAGAACATTTAACAGAAAAGAACAATTTGTGTACTTAAATAATGGGCACCATAATAAAAAGACAGAATAGACAGATGTAATCATCAATATAAGAGAGACAAATCTGCTTATTCTATAGGAATGTTATTTCAAAGTTATTTCCCTTATAAATTTGCTTAAAATCATAAATCATGGACATATTTCAATGGAATATCTTTTTCAAGATTTGAAGATACATATGATTTAATTACTACACTAAAAGGAAAGGTGTGTATTTTACCTTAACAGCAAGAAAATAATTACTCCTTACCTTCGTGAATTTGTTCTAATGGATTTTTCCTGATTAAAATTTGGCATTGTCCATTTCTAATTGCAAGGATCTTAAAATTGAAATAGCAAAAATGTGCAGTCAACCATATACAGCATGGTAAGCTTGCACAGTGTCAGCTGCCCTGATTCTATACCAGCATCAAAGGCTTATCAGCACCGTCTGTAGAAATGTATTGATCAAGAGTTTTCTACCTCTATCCTATGTCAAACTTATGTTTAAAACATGATAATGAAATACCTTGGGTTCATGACGAGTCTGCGGAAGAAGTAGGTCCAGGTGATGTAGTCCATGGCATCTTGTTTAGAGGTAATTGTTCCGGCTACTATCTCAGCATTCAGATGGTCTGGCAATACTTCTAGTAAACTATAGAAAACAAAACATCTTAAAGATTTTTTACAGATTCTTCATGCCATGTCCCCATTTCATTATGTTTTTATTTCTATTTTATTGTTTGGTTGGGTTTTATGTCACACCAACACAGTATAGGTCATATGTTTACTGGTGGAGGGAGACCTCAGGTGCCCCTCTGTTCATTACAGGCACCTGAATGGAAACAATGACATTCCATAAGCTAGCTGGATAGCTTTCTCACATGAAAGAATATAAAGACGTTTGCACAACTCAAACCTACAGAAATGAGAGACAAGTGATCTGAAATCCACAACCATAACCACCACGCCTCCTGTTACATTATTAAACAGGAAAATATTGTTAGTAGTCTAAACCTAGAATAATATGACTTAAACATGAAAAGTTAAACATCATATATTTGTCGTGATCAAGACTATAGAAATTCATGTTGCCTGTCTTTGCTTTAAACTGGTCTTTTATATTTGTTATTTAATTTTATTTAAAAATTTAGTTATCAACATACATCCATAAACGTAACCTGGAGACCAATGATCCAAGTTTAAAGGGACTCCACTGAGATTTTTTGACGCTGCAACACATTTCACTCAAATTCAATATATTTTTGAGTACATGACTTTGTATATTTCTTTGTTATTCTTTGCAGTTTTCCATTTTAAGTTCCTACTTGATAAGTTAAGATTTTCAATTTTTATGTTTATAGACATTTTGACCTCAGTTGAGTTCATTTAAAGTATAACCATGGTTACCAATATCAGCTGTGTAGCAAAACATTCAAGTTGCAAAACCACCTACAATACCCCAACTATACACATTTTTTGATAACTTAAAAGTATGTTTATATATTTACTTAGATTCGACACATTTTTTGGTAATTCTTGAGAATGATAATACATATATACTTAGATTCCACAGGGAAAGGTTCATAGAGAAACTTCTTGTAGAAATGTTTCTTTATGTCATGCACCAGTATAACAGCTTTCCCTTGGTCATCAAACTGTGGCCGACCTGCCCGACCCATCATCTGTAATACATCTGAAATACAAAATTCTTCATCATGTTAATAATGTTATTAATATAGCAAAAAAGAAATAGTTTTATCCAACTCCTCTAAATTATGTTATGGATTTGTCCTGACTTAACTTTGGAATGGTCCATTGTTCAAACATTCAGCATTATACTGTCACATCAGACTGCATGGATGTTAAAAGTGACCTTGACTAGTGCTAATGGTATCTAGAAGACATAATTGTGATTGCTGGTGGTCCTGGTAGTTAACCCTCTGGATCAAAGCAGTAACCCACTTCAAATACACCAGATCATCACAGTTCAGCCACTGCATAGTTCCTGGTCATACTGTCAAGCAGTTTAAATGTACTAGAACGCCTTTTGGCAATGAAACCAAGGTTGTCTGATTCACAGTCCAATGCTCTACCAGACAGCACTAAATGCACAGTCAATGTGTCATAGAACTTTCAAAGCTAAGAAAGTCAAATTTGCATTTTAAATTTTTAACAAACTTTTGAATACAGTTTTATTATACAGTTTTATTACTGCACAAAAAGAAAGAAATTCTTTGAATTTCAAAAATTCCATGACAAAGCACATTAAGTAACCAACTGTCAAGTTGTGTTCTATTTAATAATGTTCTTCAGTTGCCATAGTTAAAATATTAGTTAAACAACAATTCCTTTTTTGTCTCTTTATTGATATGCTATTGAAATAATGTTTTTTTTTTTAGAAAAAACATCAAAAAACCACTAGAAACATCTTAAAACATATGCCATGGATTAAATAAAGCCAAACGCAGTACTTCAAACTACCTGAATTGACAATAACTTTAAGGCAGTACAACAAAATTGCAACTTCAAAATGTTTTAATTTTTTTCCGCAGAAAACTTCCACAACACCATTTAAGTAAGTGTCAATCATACATAGGTTTTTTTTATTTCATCACATTCAAGGTGATGCAATCATCCTGCACGATGTAATATAAAACAGATAAAGCAGTGCACGTTTCACTTCAGATTCTCTTTAAACAGTTAATCAAGAACACATTCAAGTGGTACAGAAGCTTTTAAAGGGTACACGTTAATGGATTGGTCACAGAAATCTGTCCATGTCAATTCACACAAGTGTCAGTTAAGGATCTTCTGATGTTGTGGTTTTAGCATTTACCATACTGCAGTAGAGATGAGAAATTCCCATTACCAATGTCTACTTTAATGAGATTTGAAACAACTTTTCTCAGGATGACTATGTATAGAGAATAGATAAACCAGATGGTATAAAATTTTATTATTATACATTGTACCGGTATAATAGTTTTATAAAAGAATGGTTACGAATTTCTTTTGTTCGATTTATGTACTTTCGATTGCCCATATTTCCATGTCCCTCAAAAGTTTAGTAGTTGTTATTTTCGTTTTATGCCAGAAATTGTAACTTACTACTTTTGTCCATAATTATACAAATTACTTATCTTTTTATAAGTTTCATTTGCTTTTGTCCTTTTCTTTCTTTTTGTCTTTTTTTTTTTTTTTTTTTTTTTTTTGAAGTTCCATTACCAATCTTCAGTCATTTTTAGAGATATTTTTCTATTATCAAAAGAGACACAAGATTGATCATTATTATCAACCCAGGATAGTAATGACACACTTTGTAACATAAACCTCTTGTGACCATACTAATCTTTATTTATATTTTTTTACAACATTTTTATAGCAACATTCTTTAGGTCCCAAGCCACTAATTTGTATCGATTTGGTCTGACACCAGAAACAATAATGATTCTGCAACTACACTTTTAGTAATGACTGACCTTTCACTAAACAGTGTCATATCTAAAACAGCAGTACTAAATGAGTCCCAAGATAATATTTGCCAGGAAAGTTTTTCCTTGCAAATGCCAGACATGTGTTTTCACAATGACACGAACCATATGGCCATTGATAAATGTGGTCTTATTTTTTCTACAGTAATTATATGAGTAACACAACAACTTGTGAAATGTCACAAGCAGAAAAAAAGTAAACACCAGAAAAATTAATAAATGAGTTATTCCTACAGATAGAATTTTATGGCTTCAGAGTCTTTTCAAAGACAGTTTGCTAAATTTTATACATTGAATTTTAAAAGCTTCAGAGTTAGGCAACACAATGCATGTTTCAATAAATAAAATATTTCTATATTAAGCAATTGTTTCTAGTGTTGTTTTCTGTGTATGTCATTGTTGAAAAGTAAATATTTTACAGAAAATGCCAGTATAAAATGTCAGATGTTAGCAAATTACAGTAAAAAACAATGAAAATGACTTGTCTACAGAATCAGTCCTGTAGTTTGCTTGCTGCAAGTCTTATTTTATACTGATAACTGATTGATTTTCACTTTTTAATAACAAAAAAACACCTTTAAATAACAATGGAAAGTTCCAAATAAGTCCATTACACAATTTAAGCTTAGGTAAGAGTCAATATATGATTTATTTAAGGCTTACATACATAATAGCTTGTCTTAAATCGAAGACTTATGTGAAACATGACAGCATTAATATGACACGTTACTTTGTAACCTGATTACATTTTTAAATAATTACTGAAATTGTGAGGTTAAAAAAGGATCAAAGTTTTGTCAAAAAATAGCACAATGTAAAAAGAAACATAAAATTTGCGTTTTTTATTTATTATTTTATTTATTTACTTTTTGCTCTCAGTCATAGGGCTACTGTAAAGATCATATGTGGGCATTCTAGCTTTACTGGCACACAGAAAACAAGAGGGCCATGATGACCCTAAGGTCGCTCACCTGAATATAGGCCCTCGGAGCGGGGCCAGTTTAAACCCCAGGGCTTTTATTTGAAGAAACTTGGAAGACACCCATTAGAAGATGTTTCATGATGTTAAGTTTTTACTCCACACATATAATGAAAAACAATGACCTTCTGCCCCCCCCCACCCCCTGCAGGGCCAATTTTAACCCAATGGCTTTTATTTTAACAAACTTGGAAGACACCCATAAGAAGATGTTCATGCTAAACATCTAAGCTCTAGCTCATTCGGTTTTTTAAAAGAAGATTTTTTAAGTTTTTACTATACACATATAGTTTTAGAAAACAATGACACCCCTGGGGCAGGGCCAGTTTTGACCCCAGGGCTTTTATTTGAACAAACTTTGTGGACACTTACTAGAAGATGTTTCATGCTTAATATCTAAACTCTAGCTATTTGGGGTTTTTCAAAGAAGATTTTTAAGTTTTTGCTATACACATATAAGGAAAATCAATGACCCCCGGGGCGGGGCCAATTTTGACCCCAGGGCTTTTATTTGAACAAACTTTGTAGACACTTACTAGAAGAAGTTTCATGCTTAATATCTAAACTCTAGCTATTTGGGGTTTTTCAAAGAAGATTTTTAAGTTTTTGCTATACACATATAAGGAAAATCAATGACCCCCAGGACGGGGCCAATTTGACCCCAGGGCTTTTATTTGAACAAACTTGGTAGACACCCATAAGAACATGTTTCATGCTAAATATCTTAGCTCTAGCTCTTTGAGTTCTTTAAAAGATTTTTTAAAGTTTTTACTATATGCATATAGGGAAAATCAATGACCCCCTGGGGAGGAGCCAATTTTGACCCCAGGGCTTTTATTTGAACAATTTTGGTATACACTCATCAGAAGATGTTTCGTGCTAAATATCTTAGCTCTAGCTCTTTGGGTTCTTTAAAAGAAGATTTTTAAGTTTTTACTATATGCATATAGGGAAAATCAATGACCCCCTAGGGCGGGGCCAATTTTGACCCCAGGGCTTTTATTTGAACAAACTTGGTAGACACTCACTAGAAGATGTTTAATGCCAAATATCTAAGCTCTAGCTCCTTGGGTTTTTAAAAGAAGATAGTTAAAGTTTTTTCTTTTGGTTGCCATGGCAACCAGAGTTCTGCATGGAATTAAATTCTTTGAACAATTTTCAAAGGTGATTACCAAAGGAACATTCCTGTGAAGTTTGGATGAAATTGGCTAAGTGGTTTATGAGGAGATGTCATTTGAAGTAAAAGTTTACGGACGGACGCCGGACGAAAAGCGATCACAAAAGCTCACCGTGTCACTGTGTGACAGGTGAGCTAAAAACTCAGATGCCCTTCCATTATAATTTCAGGCATGAGCAAGAATGAAAAGGAGACATCGATCATCCTTTGCATGTGTGCATAAAAAAAACGTTGCATTTATGATTAATCCCTTATATGCTAGTGGCAATTGATTTTACACATACCAACGCATGCAAACTATACAGTAAAAGATCAGCTGGCACATTTGTGCAATCTGCGCAAGTCTCAAAGTCTGCACTGTTTGCTATTCAGGTCAGAATATATTTTAAAATTTTCCCTAAAAATGATCATTTTGTTCATACTGAAAGATGGACAAGTTCATTCAAGAAATTTAGTATGGTAAGGGTAATTATAATGATAATTAATGGTTAATATAATAGTATGGAGGTAAACAAGCTATTTGTTTCTACAAATAAAAGGTAAAAGTTATAGGGATGTGACTTACCTGTTATAGGGAAGTCAACATATCTCCTTGTCTTGCCATCATAAAACTCTGTACCCTTGACTACCACCAGATGAGCTGGGAAATTCACACCCCATGCCAGTGTACTGGTAGCAATAAGCACCTGCATTTAAAACAGTTATAATCATCAATAATATGAATTTACCTGACTGTATTGATTCATTGGGTACTTATGAGTATATAATTTTAATATCTATAACATTAATTCCCTTTACGTACCTGTCAAGAGTAGTGTATCTTAATGCTGTCTTAACTTTTTGTAACTGGATTAAAGTTTTCCTTCCTAGTATACCAAAACTTCATCAGCTTTTTTATTACTGATACCCCACTATTGCTACACATCAGGAAAAGGGAAAGAAACACACTATTCAAAATCACATTTGGAATATGATTTATCTCCCTTGGCAATTTTTGTAGTACATGTCTGTAAAACAGGTAATTATTTCAATTTTCTCTTAGCATTGGCTTTTGAACAGTTTTAAATGACCCCTTGTTTTATTACTAACATAATTTTATTTCGCTATAAGATACATGTAAATTCATAACCTTTTCACTGTAGTTATAAAACAACGAAAATGAAACAATATATCAGAGTAACTTGAATTTTCCAGTTGCCTAAATATTAGTCGCCTGAATGTTCCAGCTACCAGAATATCAGTTAGCGGAACCTGAATTTTTTCAGTTTCTGAATGTATTAAGAGTTAACCTGAATTTTCAAGTTACCCTGAATTTTCCAGCTACCAGAATACCTGAGTTACCGGAACCTGAATTTTCCAGTTTCATGAATAAAAGAGTTACCTGATAAACAGTCCCCTAATTTTCTAGTTAACAGTATTTTGAATTTTAGAATAACTTAAATTTTCCAATTACCTGAATATTAGAATTACCTGATTATTCAAGTTACATGAATTTTAGAGTTATAAATTTTAGTGTTACCTGAATTTCAGAATTACCAAAAACATTAGAGTTACCTAAACATTAGAGTTACCTAAGTATTAAGAGTTACCTGAATTTTCGAGTTGACAAAGAGCTCCTCTGTGATTTTCCTATCTCTCTCTACCAGTCCAGCATGATGAATACCTATACCAAAGGCCAGAGTTAACTTGAGATTGGTGTCTTTAACTCCACTTATAATGTTCTCATTCTGAAAATATACAGGTAAATATATTAATACTTAAAATATCTAATCATAATGTAAAACTATAAATAGCAAAATGATAACTATTACAATACAACCTCTTTAAAGCCATGCCCTTTGGGAGCCACAGGTTTTGGTTGTTGCTTGAGAGGTGTTGCTCTGGACAGGTTATATATTTGTTGGGAATTAATTAAATCATATTTTGGAGAAAATATACAAAATGTTTTTTATAGAGGTTATTGCTCTACAGGGGTTATTTTATAAATGTATATAGATCAAAGCAATTTAAAATATACAAAGTATATTGTTAGGCAAATACATAATAAGGAAGACACTGGGGATGATTTATATAAAATATGTCTTTATTCTAATTTGCAGTGGCGTGGCCGAGTGGTAAACGTGTCGGACTTAGTAATCTAAGAATTGCTGACTGCTTAGGTTCAAACCCTGTCAGAGGAAAGCATTTGTTTCCATGAGCAAGAAAATTTACATTCATTGCTTAGTACTGGTTGGTTCCCGGAACGGACTCAAGAGTGTTTTAATAAGCTTATAGCTATCAACACAATCAAACGAAAGTAAATTTGTAAACTATAACCTGAAATCACAAAATACTGACAATATGTGTAAGGGCACATAAGATTTTGATGGCAGTGAATAACTCTATGACAATTTAGTTGAAATACATTGAGAAATTGAAGAGAAATTATACATGGAAGAAATTGTTTAAGCCCAGCACAGATCAATGGCGCCAACATCTACAAGATTTTTCTGTTGGAAAACCCCCGTTGATCAAAGCATCAATGTCACGTTTTTGCGCCTCAGTTAAATATATCACTATTTGTATTGTAATTTGGTACTGAAATGTTCCTTTTTCTCCGCTATATATATCACTATTTGTATTGTAATTTGGCTCCTGAAAATGTTCCTTAAATTCTCTCCACATTTAACACTGAAAGGTGATAATTTCCTACAGATTTCATGTCACATTGTAACAATACCCCTGTGTGTAATAAACTGTTGTGTGAGATAATAAATATAAATGACTAGAGATAAGCCTTAGATAATGAAGCACTGTGTCAAATGGTTTCAATTCAACTTCAGAGAATGTATCAAACAATTATATAAATGCTGAACATGAATCAACTGTCATATTATTATTATCCATCACATTTTGAAAAATCAATTTAGACAATCAACAGAGCAATGGAACAGTCACTAGCTGTGTCAGCTGGGGTCTTTTATAATACCTCAAAAGCTAGGAGATCTTTGCACCAATTGTCTGCAAACTGGGAGTGAGTTTGAAACAAGCAAGGAGTAGGATTTTTTTTCATGCATTATCATTTTTTTTGTTCTAAACTAAAACATTTATAACACATAAATTATCCAACAGCCTGCTTAATTTGTATAATGAACCTAAATTGCTCACTGTTGCATATGGTGATTTTTTTAATATCAATAAACAAGTACATGTATTCGATAGCCAAAGTGGCTGTCTGGGACCAAATGGTTTAGGTTGTTGACTTTAAACCACCTTCTCTCACTGCAGTGGGTTATATTGAATACCACATAGGGACTATGGATTCTTTGATGTCAGGGAGCTATCCTGAGTGAGCTACCTTATGGAAAGTCGGTGGTTCTACTCTGGTTCCGTTCGTGCCTGAAATACTGTGATGTTTTTTGTAAAGGACCGACCAAATAAGAATCCTTGTGTTTCTTGTGTTTACCAAAATATATAAGCTTTATCATGGATTCATTCACATTCTTTTTTAAAATTTATATTAATGATCTATTGTAATAAGAACTCATACATTACTGAAATCTTACTAAGTTATATTTGAAGGTGCTATCATAGTAATAAATTTAACTTTTTCAAATGCTGGGATCATCTGTAGGTTATGCAAATTGTATATAGCGTGGTCAACAGAATAATAATCCTATTTCAATGGTTATTGACTTAAACTCTGCAGTGAGTAAAACTCCATTACAACTGCATGCTGCATCATTATTGAAACAGTTCTGGCAAAATATTCAAATACAATTAAGCACTATAAAGACACATTCTATCTCTTGGGACATAAAAATCCATTTCATACCAGCATATTATTATTCACAGAGTGATCTCAACTACTCAGGGAGCTAATGAGAAGGCAAAAGAGGAAAAAATAGAAGAAAGTTACTCAGTGAGAAATACAAAATTAATTTCTTCCCTTAGCTTTCTGTGGCTTGATCAACACAACATTTGTGGAACGAGTTTTGCAATAAAAATTGTAAGACTGGAAACTAAAGTTTTAACATGTACACCCATACAATGCTAAATTTGTGCAATGGGTTTGCCCTACTAATAGCAAACTTGACTTATAACAATATATTCAGGGGACCGCCAAATTTATATTGTTATATATAACCAGGTACCATTATATCCTTATATATATCCTCAAATCTGAGAGGCAACAAGTTTAAAAACAAGAGGCGGGACCGCAGCAAAGGCAATGATATAACAATTTTATTGTTATTAGTGATATTGCTATAAGAGGAGTTTTACCCAGTATTTAGCAAGTTTCCCATTGTACTGGTTGAGGAAGACTTAATTGCTGGTGCTCCTTTGTAAACTATTTCAAGTACAAGCAGACGGCATAAAATGCTAAATACAGAAGCAAATATACCAGTGACAGTAACTCAGAGGCTTGTAAAGATATCAAAAATCACAATTACTATAATTGGAAATCTCAAAATGAAAGTGCTGCCTGTCATTGTACAAGATTGATTGTTTCCATTAGTAATGTAATTGCTTCTTGTATTTACCTAATTTTACATCACTGAAAATCAACATTGTTGATGATGGAGATAAACTTGAGCTGACAACACCACTTTCAGGAAGTTTCTAATTTATCAAATGTACTGTATGGTACACTTACTGTAGAATATTTACTTTATCTAAAAGGCTCTAAACATCGTCCTAATACACTCAGATTTTGAGTAATAGAATTGTCCAGAATTCTAAATGGAGCTGCCCAATGCTCCTTTTAAAGCAGCAAACCTCCAGATTTATGCTAATTTTCAGGAAAATTTTTAAAATCACTAGTGAAGTGAACAAAGAAATAATTTTCACATTGCAAACCCATGTTAATTACCAATAGGTCAAATTATGCAAAAATAGCCCTAACTGCTTAGTAACACAGTAGAAATATGGTGACCAGTGATAAATCACTCATAACATGGAAATTATTACTTTAATCTTGAATCTTTTTACTTTTCTTAAAATCATAGTACTTTTTTCTCAAGTTTGATTTTCTTGAAATATTTTGGCAGGACTTCATGAAACAATAACTGAAATATTTAATAGCCAACAGTATATAGCAATGTTTTAAAGGTATGATCAGATTGCAATGGTGTACTCAATACTGATGGCAAAGACAAGTTGAAAGCATAATGGTATATTTTTGCCTTAAGTGAATTATGACCAAGATTCCAGGCCCCATATAGGAAGCTGATGGACCTACCTTGTTTTTAAATTTGGAACATTGTCCATTAGAAGTTTAAAGGATTTCAACTAAAAAATATGGAAGGATGGTGACTATAATCCTCTGTGAATTTTTTAAGAGGCATAAAAACTAGATTTTTTACTCATTTAACTTCCTTTAAGATGTAGAAAAAATAAACCCTACATTAAAATTTACATAAAATCTTGAGTCAGAACGTCTTTTAAAATCTTTCCTTCTCTCTCAGTTTAACATTGTGCACTGTGAATTAATGGCATTTAATTGACACTGCATCTTAACTTCCCATTTTAAAGTGGGGAAAATAACAAAAACTTAAAAGCACTGGTTTTAAGGAGAAGAACCACAAAGGACAATTGAAGGAACAATTGTTTGTTTGAACAAAACACTTGAAATCCATGTGGCATTAAGGGCTTCATATTGCAATCCTAAGAACAGAAGAAACAACAATTAATCTGTAAATAAAGAAACCTGAAGGATTTTGTCAATCCTTTATTTTTAGTTTCTGAGATGATATTTTCCTGAAATTCCTCCTAACTTAAATTTTGCAAGGTTGTTCTTTGTTGTCAGAAATATTTTTGTATTAAATTTTTTCTTTTTAAGTTCTTTAAAACAAAGATATTTTTGGTTAATTGTGGAAATTGGCAATAATGCAGGATTTCCCAAGCTTAATTCCCCTAGTACAAAATACTTTTACTGTTATTGCATCTCTGTGCAATGCCACTAAACTGTTCAAGTAGCCCTTATTTTCAAAGATGTTACACTGTAAAAGTTTGTTGGTAAACCACCCACCCTCCCAATTTAAGCTAAATGGAAAACCAAAATGTTCTTAATTCCTGAATAAAGTCAATTTACAATCATGCAATGCAACTATGCATTCTTTTTTTTTTTAGGTTTTCACTCCCATTAGTAATTATAATGACACATTTGGTGTGACAGCTACAACACTAGGGTAAAATTCAATTTAACTTAACATAGTGCAATATTTTGATATGATATGCGGCTTGTGGAATAACAGATGAAAGATCAAAAAGTATTGAAATATTAGAAATCAGCTGAAAGACAGAATCGGTTTCTTTTTTAATTGATATAGTCCATGCATTGTAGAACTTTAATCAGTAGCAATCTGAAAACTGTATTGTTTGTGCCATCACTTCCTGTCAGAGTTTGTGCCATCACTTCCTGTCAGAGATAAGTCAATTCCATACAATGCAGATTATAAATGGCCGGCTAGGACAGATTGTAAGTTGTTAGAATAGGCATTATGAACAAGACAAGAAATAAAGTTCATATGGGGATAGCTTGACACGAAAAGTTTGAAAAGGTAAGAAAATGACATGAAAAAAATCATATGTGGACATCATGACACAAGAAGGGAAAAGACATGAAATGATTTAGGAAAGTACATGGAATGGCATGGAAAGACCAAACATATGTATTATAGGAGAGTAGGACTGAATGGAATGGAAAGAAGAGATGTGGAAAGGACAATCGGACATACTGGACATA